TATTTATGGTTCTACGATTTATTATTGATTACAAAAGCAATAAAAAATCAATTTCTTATGTGAATTTATTTATTTCTTTTCAAATCTAAATCATTATTTATAATTAATTTTTTATATAAATTGAAAGGGGTATATTTTTAGGAGAGGTTTATTTCTTTTGGGAAAGAAAGGTTTTGGCTTTCTACTTCTCCATCTTAATACATAAACATGTGTGAATCTTCCAAAGAAAGGAAGGAAGCAATCAATTTCAAAAAAGTAATTTTATCCAAAGATTCTATCCAAGTAACTTTCTTTCCCAAAAAATAATTATTTATAGTATAATCATATTTCTTTCTCTTAATTCTTTACACAGATTGAAAACTTGTATACATCAAAATATGAAATGACTTCATCTAAAATGCTAAAAACACTTTTTTGTGAGAGAATTTTGAAGAATTTTCAGGGGAGATGACTTTCTTGAAAATGCCCCACAAAAATTTAATTTTTTGCTCCAGGCCTCGCATTTACTAATGACGGCTCTGGGAATATGCGAGTTTAGAAGACCTTTTCATTCAGTACCAATCATGAAATTGCTGTCTCATTTTATTCATCTTCCGATTGTCGATTCAATATATAAAAGCATGACCAAGATAGAGAAAAAAGATATTCATAACTATAAAACTTGAAGTAGAAATAAGCTTCAAGTCGTACTTCTTCACACTTGCATGTGTGGCTCGGAGTTATTGGGAATGATTTAAGTGGGCCTCATTTTTTACCTCCTCGATTAAATGGTGAGGCATACGTTCAATTTTTAAGNTTCATTGAAGGTAATCTCAATGGAGACACATACTTAAATCTATTACAAGAGTGTGTAGATCCTATGGTTACACAAATTTTGTAAAATGATGACAATTTTGTAGAAAATTAAATAACATTCCAGCAGGACGGTGCATCCCCACCATGGTGCCACCAGTGATGTGGCCAGCTAGATAACCTGATCTCACACCGATGTACTTCTAGACAAATCTAGAAGACCTGCGACAGACAATTGTTCGGAAATGTCGATTACTGACTCCGGGCATCTTGAACAAACGTAAGGAACGCTTTCGAGAGTAGACTGTATTATTGTATGGAACTAGATGGAGGTCATTTTGAACAATTTATCCGTTGATTTTGTTTCCACTGATATTATTTGTTAATGTATTCCTCATTAAAATGAACGAATTTTTTCTTTAAAAAAAAAAAAATTCAACATTTTTTTCTCAATAACGAATGAACTAATTTCGAACAAAATTACAGAGGTAACAGAGGGATAAAAGACGTTTCAAATGATGTATCACTCGACCCCCATGCCATTGAAAAAAATAGGGGTTAGTTGCTGACCGCAGGGGGGTGAAATTTCGGTTATGATTTTCATATCAGAATTAGTCCCCCGAAAAATAAAAATTTTCATGTTCTTTGAAATTTTTAATTACATGTCCGTTTCTGACTTACAGGGGAGTTCAAGTTTTCGTTAGAATGTCCTGTATAATAATATTGGTTTTAAAAAACACACTTTAATGTGAGATTTCCACTTGAAATTTTATAAAACCGCTATTTCCTATTGGAAGACAACGAAAATAAAACATCAAGTGATAAAACAATATCTGATTTCACCAGGACAAATGTTGATAGGCTAGTGCGATTGAAAGAAATCTTTTTTAGTTAAGCATTGTTCTTTCTAAAACATTGTCAAGTAAAAAAAGAGAACAATCAATAAAAATTGCTATGTGAATGTTTTAACAGGATTTGAAAATATTGAAAATTAAAGAAATTGTTGCATTGAACAAAAAACTAAGAAAAATATCTGTTCTACAAAATCCTGTTTTGAAAGGAAACAAAATTTTTTAAAATATTTCCCATTTAATCAATTTCATATCCTTTATAATGAGAAATATAGCAATAGTTTGACCATGAATTTGGGGACACACTGAATATTATGATTTAATGATTATTGATTTAACTTACTATAAGCCTTACTTTTGTTCTTCTTGGGTTCAGTTGCTACAAGCCTAGAACTTGTCTTGATTTTTTTCCTTAAATCTGTAGAGGGATTATCAAAGAGCTTTCTTTTGGATGTGCACATTGTACTTGGAGTTATTGATCCAGGAAACAGGCAGAGTGCTGATTTTGCAGGTGTTAATGTGAGCATTGGTTGCTCTCGTTGTATCTTTCTGGCACTTAGCTTTTCTTTTCTTGCCTGTAATCAGAATCATATTCGAACATCACAATGTAGGTAAAATAAATTTGAAAATGAATGAACAGTGCTGTAACGTAACCTTGCCTTCGCAAGTGTGAAGCTTCCGTATAAAACGAATGTATGCAACGTCTGCAAAGATGCAAAACTTTTATTAGGTCTATTAGTCAGTAACTTGGCATATGTATAAATTTTAACCATAATTGATTGAAACTTCTCTGTATACATAGTTTTTTGAAATTATAAATGTTTTGGAAAGTAAATATACATGTTTCCAACCAAGGTATTTTTCACTAATAATTTTTTAGGTTTTGAGAATGATAATAGAGGATACTATATTGAAACGAAATTGTGTACAATTTCCCCAGAAACAAATTCCATAATGTAAATAGGACCCAATTTCTGCAAAATAAACTGATCTTGTAATAGTAGTATCTAGCTCTGCAACAACTCTCACTGCTGCTAATCTTTTACATAAGTAGCCGACATGGGAATTAAATTTTAAATTTTCATCAATGTAGAGCCCTAAAAATTTGTTTTTCTCCAAATCTTCAATTTTTACATTTTCCAAGTGTACTTTCCCTATGTTACATCTAAATGTAACCACATTTGTTTTGTCGATGTTGAATGATGAAAGATTGAAATTGCATCACTCTTTAACCCTGCTTATGTCGACGATGATTTGATAAGTAAATTTGAGGTGAATTTACCATTTATGTCAACATGGACTAAGTCATTGACCTAAATGAGAAACAACACCAGCCCCAAAACGGAACCTTGTGGGACTCCACTGCCAATGAAACGTTCTTCTGATGAAATTCCATCTAATAGAACATTCTGCCGCCGATGAGGAAAGTATCAAACCGAAATATCAAATCCGTAAACTTCTAGCTTGCGAAAAAATAGCATGTGGTCTACATAATGGCCTTACATATGTCACAAAACATGGCCGCCACAGATTCTCTTTCATTAAGATTGGTGAAAAGGTTTTCCAGGAGTGAAAATATTACACCTTGTGTACTTTTTGAAGACTGAAGGCCAAACTGGAATAAATTACATTGTTTTTCTCGAAGAAGGATATTACTTGTTTTTTATCAGTTTTTCTATAACTTTAGACAAGACTGGTAGCAAGCCAATTGGCCGAAAATTAGCTAGGTTGTCAAGATCGCCTCCTTTATGTAGAGGAATGATTGTTGCAATTTTCAGACACTATGGGAACATACCTTTGGAGAATGAGGAATTTATTGCCTCTGCCAACGTATTCAAAGCCNTTTGAAATGCATCAGCATTGAAGGAACTGTTTATTGCTTATGCCCCTACCCTTGTCCACTAAACTCCTTTAGCTGCTCGGCTGTTATGCTTGATGGATCCCATGATATTTCATAGATATCCGTTACAACATTGATGAAGAGAATCTTATTATGGAACAAATCTATTTAATCACTTTTGATATGTTATGTTATGAGATTCGAAAAGTTTTTGTTTATTTATACACCATTATATTTGATTGGCTCACTGGAGTATTAATTTAATGAATATAACTTACATTTTCTCTATCAGAATGCATGTTATAAATATACTCCTCAATTGTCTTATTAAAAGTTCTAAATTCGTAGCCATGGTGTTTTTCATATTTATAAGCCAGCTCCCTTAAGGTGTCTTCAATTTTTGGAATTTGTTTGGACAGCAAGTTCCTCTCTTTTTCTTCTTTCAATAATTTGCCTCCTCTGTTATTGTAGCGGTCAGGGCCTGTTGCTGATTCTTCAAGTTCGATCATCTTGTTCCACAATTTCATATGTTTATTCAACAATAATATCATTTCCCTGAAAAGAGGGGGAATCTAAACTATGACAGGTTAACAGGATGTTTCTTAAATACGTTCCTATGAATATATGTCCAAAACCCACTAGTTTCAGAAATATGGGGTGTTGAATTTGAAGTGAAAATGTAAATTTTCCGTAGATATCTTGGAAACTTCTGAAAATGAAAACTACATATCATAGTCTGAGGTTATGTAGCTGATTTTATGTAGATAGATGTAAGAAGTACAAAACAAAACATGGAATTGAGGGAAAATAAAATTTAAAAAATTTCAACAAGGTATAAATATTCTTCCAAAGGTTATCCATTTGTACTCAAAAAAGGTGCCTTTGTAACTAGGGTGCAATCTGATGAAAAATCGAGCACGATTATCATTGTTCTCGATATTCTATTCAATATTCTGTATGAATAAAAAACAAAAAACTGAAATTTCATGGAAATGGCTTTTTCAGTAGTGAAGAAGTTGCTCAAAACAGACACTTCATTTTGAGATGCACAAATAAAGCCTTTTTCATGAACTTCCATATTAAAATTTTTTCGAGTTGTTGCTAATAATACTGCAAGCAACCATTCTGCTTCACAAATCGCTCTAATTCATCAATGGCACAATATAGATAAGAAGATAAGAGATTTAAGAAAATAATTTGAAGAATTCAAATCTGCCCGTTGAGGCAAATCTATCGTTGAGGTCTTGCTTATCTAATGGTTATCATAAGTGTTATAGAGATATTTGTGAGCAATACAACTGAAATGAGTAGGTATTTCAGTATGAATGAAGCATATTTATGTTCTGTCTAACTCGTAAAGGAACATATTAACAAACCTGTCAAAGTTTCTTTCAACACCTCTCGGTATATATGTGAATACAAATCTAACAATGAAACAGATGAAAGTATTTGAGTGGGCAAGTTTCTCAGAATTTTCATCGATATAAAACAAAAGTGTGAAGAACATATCTACTACATATTTTATTTATTTTATAACTTGACAATTATGTTTCAATATACAGAAATTTTTAGCAGGAATCCATTTTTATCAATCAAATCAAAATTGTGCTTTATTGTCCAAGAATTAGTCCTTAATGACAAAGTGATGAGTGCAATAACTTGTGGTACAATCCAAGTGTCATATATATAAAAATTAAACGTAAATATGTATAGGTACAAATGTAAGTATATAATTCAAAATATAAAATAAAATTTATGCATTGAAATCATTTTGTAACATAATTTTTAATAAAATAAAGGTTAAAGAAAGGGAAACTGAGTTCAGTACATTATAACTCAGTAAGGTTGGGTTAGATCGTTATGACACATTCAAAATGTAAAGCTCACTTAAAAAAATTATAGCATAACACGGTAGAACTGTTTTATTGAGATCAGAAATTTTCATTACCGTATTCCTGCAGAGCATAGTATGCTTTTGGCATGAGGAAGTATTTTACTGCCTTTCTAAAGTGCATAAAATATCAAAGCCACTCTTGAATTTGAAGTAACAAAACATACATTGTAATAAAAGGAATTTCCAAATTGATTGTATGTGGCTTCATAGACCCCAATATTGAATATACAACCATTTTTTAAATTATATGGATGAAACACTTGACAGTTTCTTTTTTGGAGATATGAATATTATTATATCAGGCAATACTAAGGTATCAAAACAGTACATTCCAGGTACTTATTTTTGGTTGCAACGAAATTATTTAATATTGCAAAAAAAAAATAACTCTTTAAGAAGTATCAAGTGTTTCATCTATCCACAACTAGATCCAAATGAACCCTAAGGTTATAAGTGTTAATATTGTGAAAGCAGTCGTATTTGAAATATCAATGATATCATTTTTTATTAATACAGGTATAATGCCAAATTCAATGAAAAATAATCACACAAGACTTATTGATTATCTGAAGAAAAAAAATGTATAATATGATGGTCGACGAGTTCAGTAAATTCCGAGACACAGAAACAGAAACAAAAGATATTATTCAACATGAGCTTATTTACTATTGAGCACAACTTTGAAATGCATCAGCATTGAAGGAACTGTTTATTGCTTATGCCCCTACCCTTGTCCACTAAACTCCTTTAGCTGCTCGGCTGTTATGCTTGATGGATCCCATGATACCGTTTTAATTTTTGATGAGGTGTCTGAAAGCATAAGCAAGCCCTGACTAAAAGGTGAAAAAAACGGGTTCGTTCCTACAGTAACTCTGACACCGAGAGCTTTGAGAAAATCTCCGAATCTGTAATATTTCAGTGAATACTTGTCCAATTTAATCGAAATTAGCGTCATTTGAATCGGTGCACTTTTGCTAATGTAACACAAGTGGATAAATTTTGTCAGGGAAAAAATGTGTGATCGAGATTTGATGAAGCCGGCAAAGGCAGTTTTTGCCTGGTCCCGATTTGAGAAGTTTCTACCAGTGAGAAAGTTTCCAAAGTGTTTGAAAAGATGGTAGTCAGTTAGCACTCTTAACATTGCCATCACTGTATATCTTCATCATAACAATGAATATCAAGAAAAATTAATCAATCTACAATAAAAATAACATGATACATAAACATAACACTCGGAATGGTAATGAACTGCAAGTACCCTACTCTCGACTGGCTCTTGGTCAGGGTTCCTCAAGTTATCAGGGTGTCCTCTGCTATAATAGAGCTATTTGGAAACATATGTAGTTTCACTGAATTACAAAGTGCTTTACTTGACTACCTTACAAAAAATGCATTTTATTCTACTGAAGAATTTCTACAACTCTAGGTATTATTGTATAATTACTTTAGTTTAATTGTACAAATATATAGATTTTACAATTTGAACCAATTTAAGCTGATCACCGTTCTTGCATCTTTTTAATATGTCTACTTAACTGCTAACATGTATATAGACACTGTAACTATAGATAAGCACAGTTGCTTTATGTTCTGTCTGACTAGTCTGATAAAGGATTTATAGCGTTATTCTCAATGATCTTTAAGCTACAAAAGAGAGCACTGAGATACTTATGCCATGTTAATCAGCAAACTTCATGTAAACCCTCATTTACATCTCCGAGGATACTCACGTTAACATCAATTTTCGTGCTAGAATCAACTAGTTTAGTTCATAAGCATAAACAACATTTATTAAAATCTGACACTGCACGTAATACTAGGGCAAATGACAAATATATATCTTTATCAGTCCCCGGAACCACCCAATACCATAATTCAATTGTTTACAATGGTACGAAAATGTTCAACCATCTACCGAAGCAAATTAAAAATATTCATAGCACTCCGAAATTCAGAAGGGCTGTAAAAAAATTTTTAATAACAAGACCGTTTTATGATTTGAGGGAATTTTTTGAACAAAATTTTGAATAGCTGTGACAGCAGTACAAAATATGTCGTATCTATGTCTCTCACTAAATAGTTTTAAAGGTATTTCCTTACAATAGGAATTTGCTGTGATGGTTTGGCCTGTTTACAGAAATTTATAGTGATTCACATCGGCCGCTTACCAACAGTAACTATGTTCTTTTATTAATGGGTTTTCACCTATGGGAAGTGCCTGGGTGGCTCATCGGTGTCCAAACACTGTCCTAAATGTCTCCTGTTGTCATAGAGAATCCACTTTTCATCACACGTGAGAATCCGATCGAAAAAAGGATCGTTTTGATTGTGCAAGCAAAGAACACACTTCGAAACGTGACAATTTTTGCCATTCGTTCTAATCATGACACACTCACTTTTTGAGCTTTTTGACCTTTCCAATATGTTTCGAACCATTAAAAACCGCATGGGAGCTGACGCCCAGCTCTTCCGTCATCCCACGCATCGTCAGTCTCTACCAGGGTCCTCAAATCCTCATCTGGATTACTGTAGATCGACCACTTTAGGACACAACTTCGTGGCTAAAATCTCCGAAACAAAATATCGCAAACCGACGTCGAACAGTGTGTTCATCAAGACTATCATTGCCAAATGCCTGGTTAATTTGTCGGGCTGTGTCGGCAACGCTTTGGTTTAATTTGAACGAAGCGAAAAATTGCCCGAAAATCGCTAAACTTCATCGTATAAACTGAAAAATGTAAGAACATAAAATTTGGAAAAAATGAACAGCATCAATGTGTAGAGTACAAAATTCTCTATCTATCAGTATATACCACGACACAGTAAAATAAATATTTATTGAGATATGAAGCTACGAAAAACACATGACATTAAAACAGACAAAACTTTTGAAACAACCTGATATGAACACTGATCAACACTGAAATCACTTTTTCCTTTTCAGTTTGAACTCCAACAATTCGTGTTGGAGATAAAACAAATATCTTCTATAGGAACATTACACAACGAACTACATAAGAGTATATGGAAGAGAATTAATAACATTTTCACTTACATGGAAAACTTATCAATTTCAGCGTTATTGAAATAATTCTTTGAAAACTGCAAAACAATGATTAGCCTTTGTCATCTCCTTTCACTTCACCTTTTTGCATACATGTGGGTAGGCTTTCTGAATAATTTCACATATAAAAAAAATTGATCCCTCACTGAAATTTGTGATATTTTATGACTTCATGTTGCTAAATCCCAATGTAATATTGACGTCATATGGTATGAATTTTAGCCAAAATATGTTTTAATTTTCAGTAGTTTTCCGACTGTCAACGCAATAAGTAGTTTTCAACATATATTCATAGAAACTTTTTTTCGCAAAATAATAAAAGAAATAATCCCTGAAATTACTGACAAAATCTGTATAGAAATGTGTAAATACAAATTTCTATAAATAAAAAATTCACTTACTTGTTTTCTTCATAATAGGCTTTCCATTTTTTCAATTCAATTTCATGTAATTCCAATAAATCCTCAGTGTAACAATCTGAAATATAGTACGAAAAGTCTTCTTTCGCTGATTCTGAACAGTGACACTGCTCCCAAATTGTAGTCAATTCATTTCTGAGTTTATCCACAAAAACCTTAAAATTCATATGATATCGTCATGATAATTTCTGAAGTATTATGGTAATGTAATTATTCGAAAAGAAATTTGAGAAAAGAAAGTGAGAAAAACATAAATAACGCCTCCATAGTCAAATGAGGTTGCAGCGGTTACGTAAGGGAGCGTACTGAAATTCTTTTTTGAGTTTTGATCGAATTTAATTATTTATTGGTTTTAGTACATTTTTTATTTCTCTATTTTGTTGTAATGTAACTTATATTTATTGTACTATATGAAATTCTATCCATTATAATTGTTATTTGGAAATTGATACAAAAGATAAACTGAAATTAAATAAACCTATACTCAATAAAACATGAATGGAGATTATGAAGACAAGACCTGCTAGAAAAGTTTGGTGTTTTTCATAATGTTTCGCTGAACAATCTGATTTTTTTTCGAGTTCTCATTAAAAACAATTCCTCTGTGTGGAGATTAAATGTCAATATGTTCAGTAACATTCTGAATACAACGAACGTATCACCAACAGCTACAACACAATTGAATCAGTAATACATTCCTCAGTCAAAACCCTTGGGCTTAATGGGTTGAAAAATATTGGCAACACCTGTTTCATGAACAGTGTAATCAATCCAATGTTTATCAAATAAAAGATAGTTACTGGAATATTTGGAAAAGGATGATTACATGAAAGATATCAATACTAATATTTCTAATAGGGAGGGTGCTTTAATCAAAGTTTTCGCAGAAGTTATCAAGGAATTGTGGTCAGAAGATTCATCTGATAGAGCAGTGAACACAGTCTCCTTAAAAAGTCAGATTCAGAGTTTTGCCCCTCGATTCATGGGTCATGCTGACAAATTTTTATTTTCAAGTTTTAATCTGTGATATCCAAAATATAAGTGTATATAATTTTGAATTTTTGTAAATATTTGTAGAATGATGAGTTTTATCTCCATTGCTTTCACAAAATTTCATTTATTATAAAGCTTCTATATATTTTATGTGAATACTCCAGTTTATATAAAGCAAAGCAAGTTACCTTTGATTATAAAAAATTATAAACAGAAATTCTTCATTGCTTACAGGACTTTATTAATTTAATCTAAGGAGCCTTCTTGATGTGTTTGATGATGTTTGGTATTATTAACCTTGAACATAAAACTGACAGCAATTTATTAAGTGGTTAATTTTTGAGTATACTTGAATGATTATTAACGGCCGATTCATATACTAAACTTTTACTTTATCATTTACTTCAAGAAAGCTGTCACAATGTAAAGTATGAGTTTTTTATACACCACACTTCACTTTTTATTTTACTTTTACAAAAGTTTTATGGGCGAGTACTTTTTCTTTAATAATTTCTCAAAGTGAACTATTAACCAACAATGTAGTCGACATTATTTATTGATATTGGCATTCTGCTTGTTAAGTATCATTATATGTGGGTGGACTGTATTTCCTGTCATATGAATTTAAATGTTGTCCTTTTGCGTGATTTTTATAAGCAGAGACGCAAATATTACAAATTAAACCGAACTGTGCTTACCTTGACAATTTCAGCGACATGTTTTTGAATAATGTGCGTTTTTCTGTTTCGCAATAATGTTACTCTGAGGGCATTTCACAACAATTCTCATCTCCAGTCATATGACTGTTATATATTTACATCCATACCTCAAAGGGATATGAGCACCAAAATCCAAATTATTTTATAAGCATGATAGTATTGTGGTTAGTTTCATAACTAGATAATTCACATGGCTCTACCTTCAAACCCAGGTAGACACTTGGCTCTGTTGCAAAACCAGACAAATGAATATTTTATTTAGAACTGTATATTGTCTAAAATATTTATTTACATTATAGCAGACAGTAACAAAAAAAATGAACATTTTTTCATTGAACATCTATTTTATTAATTGAAAATGAAAAATTTGTTGCGAATTATCTGGTTTTTATTTTATATTAAACATTCAACTTTTTAAACTCATTGCAACCTTACTGGGTCATAATATGTTGGTATTATGCACATAAAGGTTGAAGTTTCTCAAGATTTCAATACACGGCAGATATGTAAACCAATAGAAAATCAAAAAAAACTTACTTTGATATTGGCTTTCTTCAAATCTCCACAACGTCTAACTTCTAATCTCAAAGCATCTAATACATCAACTGAATTTCCGGTATACTTTTGTCTAAATTCCTGTCTTTCTTGTAAGGAAATTTCTAAGAGATCCCAATAATGGTCAACATTACTTCTCAAATGGGAAATTTCTTCTTTAACATTTTCCAGTTGGCGTTTGATACTCTTGTGGAAACATTCTAAATCTTTCATGTTTTCATCTGTAACCATAAATTTAGAATCATCCTGGGAAAGAACATTTTTCTCAAATTCTGTTGAGGGAGAGACATTCAATTCACGTGTCATTAAGGATATTTCTTCTTTCATCAAACAAAATTTTTCGAATCTGTCAAACTTTTCTTGTTCTAATCTCTCAATGTGGTTTTGAAAGTCCAGTATTTCATCAGAAGATGGAAGAGGGTTATCATCAATTACCCTTGGTTCCCTTCCCAATGATTTACACAGCTCCAGCTGCTTTTGACGGAGTTTGTTCAAATCTCTCCTTCTTGTTTCAACCGAATGTTCCAATCTAGAAACAATATATGAAATGTTTATCAAAATAGAAAAGGATTTTCATTTTTGAAATCCAATTTGTATATTGCTCAAATCAATTCATTCATCCAACCATAGATACCAACCAAGTTATTGTAGATAACACTTTGAGTTTGAACAGTCATGCTGAATACGTTATGAAAAAAATTTCAAAAAAATTATATTTTTTTTCTAGGATAGCAAATAATTTGACTATTAACTCCAGAATATTAACATATAATTGTATAATTAAACCTCATTTTGAGTACTGTCCAACTTTAATGCATTTAATAAACCAAAATAGGCTTTCCCAATTTCAAAAACTCCAAAATAGGAGCATGAGAATTATATTAAGATGCAGTCGTTATACTTCCATTGATCACATGTTAAATATACTACAATGGCTGTCGATTTCAAATCGATTATTCTTTTTAACAATGGTTTTTATATNGCCACTTCAAGCGTTCCGCCATATGGGATTGATTTGGAGTGACGTGATATTAATTTTGATTTTATTCGACACGCACGCACACATCTGTAGAAAGATACATACATACATTCTAAGTTAAATAAAAGCTTGTAATAAAAAAAGGGTAACAAAGCAGAATTTTATTTGAAGTGATGGCCAGTCAGATCATCTTGAAAATAACTATTCAAAGTGATTTTGATACTATCTAATACCATCTAATACCATCAATAGTTTTCAGATATGCAGATAAAGAATTGAAATTCAAAGATGTTTTTTTGGAGGTCAATTCAACATTTTCGGAGATTAATTTGTTTTGTTGAATAAAATATTTTGTTCCAATCTTATAAAAAAATCACTCATGAAATATTCAATCTGAACATCATATAATCTAATTCTGAACATAAATTGAATACTTACTCTTCCACACGCTTTTTCAGCTGATGCTGAACTTTATACAAACATGAACTGTCAATATCCAAAACTGGCATTTCTATTTTTAAAGTTTTACAAAGACTTTCAACTCTCTGAAGTAAATTCTCTATATTGGCGATTACAGTGCTTTTCAAATATTCAATATCTGATACAAGCTCACAGCAGGTATCTTCGTAGTGTTCTGTAAAAACCTGCACCCATTCTTGTAAATCCTCCTCGTTATTACTCATTTTTAGGGCAACCTGGGTCCAATTGAGAAAGGTCTTAGTTAGACCTGTAAGTAAAGTTCTCCACATTTGTTCTGCCCAAGTTATTCCTTTTATCCTGAAAAAAAAATGAAACTCAATATTTGTAATATAAAATTTTAATTTTACAATCTTCAATTACTAAAATATATATCACGTCCATTCAAGAACTTAAAACTCACTAAAATACAGCAAGAATGAAATTTCCTTACATCGTAAAATCAAAGGCACGAATAGTAGGTATACAATGGTTAATAAGTGCTTTTAGGAACTGAGTTACATATTATATACATTACAGGTACTTCCTATATTTTTCAAAACTAACACTAACACATGTTTGTGAATTTTTATTTTGTTTTCGTATTTATCCTTAGAAAAAAGACTATATAATTTACCAATCACATTTATTTCTAAACTGACAAATGGACTTTTGCCAAAAAAAATATTTTGGTAATTTTGGTCTACGACTACAATTAACTCCACATCTTTGATCTGATTGATATATCTCTTCAATTTTCTAATTGAACGAAAGATACTTGCTCCTGACATGAATATATCAAACGAAAACTATACTTTATTGTCCAAGAATATTTCTTGCTGAAAAACCATGGATTCACAATAAAACCGCACAATTACAGTAGTATATACAAAACTTAAGACGAACCCAAACTGGACTATAAGGCGTTTCAACGGCGTTCAAAAGATCGTTATGTAGTCGAGAAACGCATAAAGGCAACAGCTTCAACATTTAAGAATATTAGAGAATGAACATTTAGCAGTCAAAACTGAAAATAACAGAAGCATAGACTGATACTCAAAATCTCTTGTTGAAATATTCTGCCAGACTATAATAAGCTTTTGAAAGTAAATGTTCTTTCAGACGGTTATGAAATGCGATGAGGTTTGCTATACTTGCCATTTCAGCAGGCGCATGATTTAAAATCTATTGACACTCAACACACAATTTTTAATTAACGTTTTTTGTTGGAATGCATAGGTATATACAGTGTGACACACTTAAGATGAAGACACCCCTGTATTCTGGTCATTTTTGAAAGCAGATAGTCGATTTTCTATACAAGCACAGACCTTCATGGACCGCACTTTTCGCTATACTTGGCCTAAGTGACAGCCTTAAACCCAGCCTACTGCGTTCCTACAAAAAAAGGCAAATTCTTGATATTTTGCTATGTATAGATGATACCAAAATAAGTTATTTGAAAAAGTTGCTTAGAAATCGATTTTAACCCTACATACCGAATTTCAACGCAAAATTCGATTCTTAAATATTTTTTTTTGTAATTATCACATTTATGGTACTAAATTAAAAGCTACGAACATAATAAATTCGTTATGATGAAGAAATGAGAATGAAAAACCTAATATTTATAATGAATACAGTTATTTCATTGATTTTGACTATTTTACCGTTTATGTAGCTTCTTATTCAGAACCATAGATTGAAAATCAGACTTCCGAATTTTGAGTTGAAATTTGGTATTGTTATCGATTTCTATGCAACTTTTTCAAATATCTTATTTCAATATCTCCAAGGCGAAGCAAAATATCGAGAATTTGCCCTTTAAAGGCTGTCACTAGGGCTGAGTATTGCGAAAAATGCGGCCCATGAAGGTCTATTCTTATACCAAAAATCAAATTACTGCTTTCAAAAATGACTAAAATACAGGGGTGTTTTCATTTTGAGTGTGTCATACTGTATGTTGTGATTTTGACGTGCATAATGCAAAATACAGTTGTCATTAGTGTTGTTATGATAGAACTGACCGATACTTGATGAAAATTGTTTTCTGCAACCAAGTGATGCACATTCTAGCTCTAGGCGTACTCTGATGAAAACTAATGAGCCATAAACACGTTATTGTCTTGATATAGATACAGAAGTTAATACTCGGACATAGCACCCAACAAAGTGGCAAACCATAGATACGTGTTTCGGGCTCTTGACCCATCATCAGTATGGTGTAGCCAAGTGAAGGATGGGCAACGCTTGGTTACCAAAAGAAATACATGCACGGAGCCACCAGCAGGAGCTAGCCGCACAGTTAGTAAATCTTGTGTTTACAAGAAAACTATCAAAATCACCACGGAAGCAGCTATAACTACCTGCGTGACATCCGGATCCAGGAAATAATACAAATATGAAGGTTACTGAGTGTCTTGATATACATATAGAAGTTAAAACTTGGCTGCACCATACTGATGATGGGCCAAAAGNTTATCCGAGACGTCGGCTTCAATTATCGGTGGTGGGTTGTGATCTGAGCCATTAAGAATCATCTCACGACCATGGTTTATGAAATATGGGGTCTGACCAGTACTCTCATTTCGAGATGTTCTGATTGCGCAAGAAACCTTGGGTAGAAGTATGTCCCAAGTTCGATGGTTATCTTTCACAAATGATGAAATCATGGTTTTCAAGGTACGATGTTGGCGTTCACACGCATTTGCTTGCGGATGCCAATTTGGTGATTGGATGAATTTTACGTTATATTTTTGTGCTAATTCTTTAACTTTTCTACCAGCTACCTGTTTTCCATTATCCGATAAAAGAAACCGTGGTACTCCATAAACCAAGAAAACATGATCTTCCAGAAGACGAACGATTGTTCTAGCATTGGCCGATCTCATTGGTAAAAACACGCAATATTTAGAAAAATAATCTTGTACGCTCAATATATACATATAACCGGAAGTGGACTTAGGTAACTTACCAACAATATCAAAAGTCACAAACTCCCAAGGCCTTGTGATATCTGGACGGGTGGAAATGAAACCGGCTGGAGGTTTTTGCTCCGGTTTTTGAGAGGCACATACCTGACAGTGTCTGATATAATTGGCAACATCCGACCTTAACTTTGGCCAATAGAATTTGTTACCAATTCTACTAAAGGTTTTATAGATACCTGCATGTCCGGCGATCGGACTATCATGATAGTCCTCCAAAATTTTCTTGCGATGTGACTTCGGTACTACAATTTTCCAGTCATAGACAGCACTATCAAGACCAGGATACTGACTCTGCAGCTTTTTGTAAATAGATTTTTAGGTGTACACTTGGATGAATTTCTCAGCTGGAAAACTCATTGTGGAACAGTTATATCAAAATTGAACTCCATGAATTATCTTCTGAGAACCTTCGAAATATTTTAGACCAAAAACATGCTGTATCATGCTCAAGTTGAATCATATCTTCGGTATGGTATTACTTTTTGGAGAGCTTCCTTTTCATGCAAAGATGTTTTTGTCGTCCAGAAAAAGATTATAAGATGTATACCAGGAGTCTCAAGAAATACAAGCTGTAAAAGCATTTTTTTAAATTTTGAAATACTAACATTATGTTTTTTTATATATGATAACCGTAACTGTTTCATAAGAAATGAAAATGTGCATTCCATTGATATCAGGTACGAGACAGACTTTCATAGGTCATATTGTAAAAATGCACTGACTTACAATTCCCCCAATGTAATAGGGCTCAGATTATTTAATCTGTTATCACTTGAACTGAAAAACTCTAGTACTATCCACAGCTTCAAAATTACACTTAAGTCTTTCCTACTAGAGAAAAACTATTACTCCCTTCAGGAAATGATTGAATAATAAAATGAAAATTTCAATGAATGCATTACTCTTAGTAAATTGTCTTATTTTTAGTTATACTTTTGAGCTCTTTTCTGACTTATCCTACACAATGTACCTTTTTGATTGTCTTACAGAATAATAAAAATTATTATTATTATTATTATCAACAAAGGACTCGATCCCAATACCAATGATACCAATGGTATCATTGGTATTGGGATGTGGTACTATTGATATGACTGCATATTACGCAAATTTGTACTCCATGAGATTAGGAATAACTGTGTGGGGTTCAAGTAACAAATTGAGAAGAGTTTTTTTGTGTCAAAAGAAGGGTTACATATACTTTTCAATGAAGGTTTTATCAATTCCTGTAGGGAAACATTTAAGTGAAGTAAGTTATCGAATCCAGATTGTTTTGAAAAAAATTTTAAAACACAATTATGGGAATCAAGGTCAAACATGACCTTACCCTCATGCAACAACAAGAGATGGCGGCACTGCGAGCGGAGTTGCAGGAGAAACTTAAGACGAACCCAAACTGGACTATAAGGCGTTTCAACGGCGTTCAAAAGATCGTTATGTGGTCGGGAAACGCATAAAGGCAACAGCTTCAACATTAAATCCACCTCTTCAGCCACTCATCCTGTACACAAACATCTCATCTCTTCTTGAAAAGTTCGATGAGTTTCTACTCGAAATCAATGAGATTGGTCCACACATCACAGTGATAACCGAATTATGACTCAATGACACAATTGCTGATTCCCTTGTACAGAACACATAGCATAAGTGGTGGCATTATTGTCTACCACGTAAACCGCATTGATGGAATGACTGTGTATGCCACCAGAAGATATGACCTGGAGCGATGAGAAACTGAGACCTTATGGCTGCACATTTTTCTGAATAGCTTTTGCTTCAATCTGAGGAGTATCTACCGGCCACCCACCTTAGACTACAGTGTGAAAAGAATAGATATTATCTTTAATCCATTCGGAACGCCTGTCAGGTAAGGGTCTCCGGTGGTAATCTTTGGAGACTTCAACCATCACCTGGGGTTAATAAGGACCAACGGCTAAAACACCGGTGGAACACGCGTTCCTCGAACTCACTGTGGAGCCCAATCCCAACCAGAAAATAAACACTTCTGCAAGGTACCGAGAAGGTCAAAGACCTTATGTCCTGGATCTCGTACTGACAAACGACGACGACCTTCTAACACCGCCTGTCACCCGCCCTGCCATTGGCCTGAGTGACCATGTCGTTCTCAAGACAAGGATCGAAATTCGTTCTACAGCATACACTAAACGTTTTACATAACTCAACTATTACAGGACTAATTTCGAAGAGATCAAGAGGCATTTGGAGGTGCAATTGAGAGGCATCGAAACAGGTCCATCCGACCTGTGGAGATTTTTTCACTCTACAGCGACATATCTGCGGAGATTTACCCCCGCGGCCCGTCCAAAAGTAACCCTGACAATCCCTGGATCAACCACCACGTGAGGAAACTTGCAAGGGAAAAACGCGAACTTGGAAGAGGTACCGGGACACACACGACCTTGATTACGCCAGATACGGAGCAGTAACAAACCGCCTAACCAACTACATGAGGATTCGGAGAAGTACATACGAAAAAGATGTTATCACGCGTGGAGGAAAGCGGTTGTTTACATACGTCCGGCGCCACACGACATCCGCACCAGAGACCTAGCCTGAACACAAACTTTGCACCTGGTTCTGATGGAATTCTAGCAATCTACCTCAACTTATGTGCAACACGACTGGCACCTATTCTGAGAAACATGTTCAAAGCCTCAATGTCCACGGGTGTATTGCCACCCACCTGGAAAGACGCACTAGTAACTCCCATCTTCAAGAAGGAGACAAACTGGTTTCTCTTAATTACCGCCCAATTAGCCCCACAAGTATACCGGTAAAAGTGATGGAACGGATCATCGTGAATAGGGTACGTGAATTTCTCGAAGGTATTGACGTTATTCCCCGACGGCAACACGGCTTCATACCCAGGCGCTCAACAGTGGCAAACCTGCTGGAAAGCAAAAAATGTTTGGACCAAGGTTCTCGACGAGAGTAGGTCGATGAACGTGATTACTTGGACTTTGCGAAAGCTTTCGACAAGGTGCTGCACGAAAGGCTGCTGCGAAAGCTCTTCGGTCTCGGCATTCGTGACAAACTGCATGCTTGGATCTGCAACTACCTTACGGGCAGGGTATTCCGCGTGAGGATTGGAAATTCAACATAAACTGCGAGGTTTCTACACTAGCCCAGCAAGATCTTGGGGTGACAATATCCTCGGATCTGAAATGGAACAACTATGTCCGCATTGTAGCGAAGAAGGCAAATGAAACCGGCTACTACCTCACCAATGAATTCAGAACACCTAATAAAGACCTTATCAAAATTATTCTAAGGACTCATATCAGGCCCATTATGGAATATGCCAATGTGGTTAGGTTGATACATTACAGACAGGACATTGATCTCCTGGAGCGCATATAGAGACGGCTGACGAAACTTCCTAGAAAACTACATGATCTTGAATACCAACAAAAGTAGAAAATCCTTCATCTTACGACCATGGAGCAGAGGCGATTGCACAATGACCTGATTGAAATATACAAGATGTACAAGATACCAGTACAGTTCAGCCTACAGTTGTAGAAAACCGTAGACTTAGGGGCTATGACAGGAAAAAAATGTTTTTTTAAATCTGTTTTTATTTATCTGATTCTCCGTCAACCAGCTGTCGCACCCCTACGAACGACAACCCTCAGAAGTCGAAACTTGTGCGAGCTAAGGATTAACAAGGTCTTACCTTTTAACGTGTGATTCCTAATGAGAAAAGAACAGACAGAAACGAATGTAAGGACTTATTTTCTCGCAAAGAGAACAGTAAATGTCAGGAATGGCCTTCCATTCGTCTGTGTGAAATCAGGCTCTATTGAACTGTTTGAAACCCGACTAGATTCATACCTGTTTGCTCTGTAATATCGCTGTAAAAATTGATAGATTTTATCAGATATAGTATCTTCCGAAAATCTGTTATATTCTTGATACAATTTTTTATACCATTGTTACAATATTATATTGTGAACTGAAATTATAGAAATTATATTATTATATTATTGAAACGGTTGTTAAATGTGCAAAGATTATGTAATTCTTTATATATGTAGAATCAGCTCTTGAGCTGCTGCCATATCAATGAAATGAATAAATAAAAATCAAAATTAGTTGTCACATGTTACACAAAGTTTGTAATGTGTAAGGGGAAGAAACTGTTCGCGGAAATGATAGATAGATAGATATTTACTGACTGAACCAAAGTTCAGTCAGTACATCGATCGACTATGTAGATGACTCCACACTGTGTTACCCTTGTAATAGAGTGTTAGCCATCTCTATTGATACTGAGAATTCTCTTAATTTCATTTAGTTAAAATTTTCAAAAATGGTTCGCCATAATTTTCATGAGGCCAAAAATATCTCGGGGAACTGGTTTAACAATTTCAAACAATTTGAAATGTAGCTAAAGCTAGGGGGGCTGGATGAAAATCTATCTTGAATGAGAAACAGAAAGCAAGTCTGTAGTGAATAACCCCTGGCAGTCTATGACAAAAGTTGCTTGTGAGAATGATGTCTCAATTTTTAGGAATGTTATTTCACATTTTACTTCGGATCCATCAGTTGAATACCCAAACTAGTTAAATATTTTTCAATGTCCTAGAGTTGAATGTGAATAACAAAACTTGGGTACAAAAGGTCAGAAAATCCAAGACTTATCATGAATACTAATGCTGCATTTGTGAATTCAATAAGCGACCGGAAATCAACACGCAGCAGGTACATGGACATTGGAAAAACTAAGAAATGTTGCTGATTCTACAACTGAAGTCAAATTTATGGTACTTTCACATTATTTTTGTAAATATATATGAACTACATTATGAAAGATATAAAAGCAGATATTCTAAGGATTCTGCTGTGATAATTAAGCGGTAATTCATATTTCATCTGAAAAAATTTTGCTATGCAAAATAAAACATACTGATGGCCACTTTCATTATCTACAAGAAATAATAGTCAAAAGAGATGTAGAAGTAGATTAATGATCATCTGAACAAAATATTGCTGATTTATTCACAAAACCGTTGAGGGAGAATGTTGATATACAGTGTTTGCCATCATATTTTCCTTGATATCTTTGTTGTCATATTAAATTTTATTAATTTGAATTTTGACTGTTTTTGAAAAAGTGAGAGCAATGAAATCTATTCACTATTTACGTTTCTTCAATAAGAATTTAATATACTTTTTATTCACACTATCCTCCTTGTCTGAATGAAAATCTGTATCAATATGTATTTTTTGGGGAGAAGATTTCCGTCTGGCACCCACCTAACTTGGGTAATGTATATTGATTTGTTTATATTATTTTATTGTAATGAATTCCAAAAGGAAAATTGCAGCACTTTCTTATGCACGTCAAAAGGATGTGGAAAATCGTCTTGGTTTAGGTCAGGTTGGAGCCTGGCTTCCTCTTACCCTTTCAACTAATAACCAAAACGATGTAAAATCGCACACAAAACTCAAGTACTTTTTTCATAAGAGCTCAATAAGAAACTGAACGCTAAAAAAAATCACAACTTCCATAAATAGTTGAAGGTTGAATACTCACATATCCATATCCAAGTCTTGCAGATCTGTGAACCTTTTCCTTAAAGAGCTGGTTTCCATTTTTGTAGTTAATATCGACAAAAATTTTCACACACGAACACCCGACTAATAAATTTAATTTCACCAAATGGAAATTATTCTATTCCAAAATGTAGTTCACTAACATCAACTGTAAAGCTGTGTGTAAAGTGCAACGGCTCTTTTTGATTTGAAAATTGAAATTGACATTGACAATATGCCAATGAAGGCAACCACGAAATTTCTTGCCGCGAGATAGCGCTGAGGGGCGTGAAGTTAGTTCTTGTGGTACTTTCGTTATTCACAAATGGATAAAATGAGTTTATTTGAATTATGCGACCGGACGTTAAAAATCTTATGAAAGAGGAATGTTTGAGATCAGCGATACCAGGAATGAAGGTGTATTAATGAAAGGACAAAAAATATTTAAAACAACAGGACCAAAATATTTTGATAGGCTAGTTAAAAATGATATATTAAAAAAAATTAAATAAAATATATTTTCTTCATTAGTATTGTGAAAGATGAGAAAAAAACTGAAATTCCAAATCAAACTACTTCACGACGTTTTGATTGTTAATATCCACAATCGCCATCGGTTAATAACTGGTTTATCTTTACTCTTTTTGTTTACTTATTTTTGACCTAAACAAATTATTCGATTCCTTCAGTTATTTTTTTTTTCATTTCAGGTTGAAATAATTTGTTTCATTCTCAAATTAGTAAATTCCATACTCATTTCGTTCATTTTTTGTCTAATTTTTCAAATGTCAATTCTCTTTTTGAATCATCATATTTTTCATATTACATAAATCAAATATTTTATTGTTTTTTTTCTGAAACAGATTCCTTTGCTAAACCGTAAATTTTTTTAATTGAAATGGTTGCATCCTATAAGCCATTTGGCAAGGATATGTTTATCATTTGGAAATTTGTGCTACTTACGGATCAAAGACGTCCTAAGCAATCAGAGGCATGTTATTAACACCTCACAAATCGAACTTATAATTCCTGAAACAAGCAATGTTAAATGTTAAGCTGTCGTCTTAACTTCTCATCCTTCAGCGTCTTCTGACGCTAGAGGACCTCACGCCATTGTATGGCAAAACACGTGTTGCGTTTTTGTAAAACTGTTTAGTGAAAATCTCACAATAAAGTGTTTTTTGAATACGTTAGTTATGGATTTTTATCAAGTATCGACCAATCCCATCATATAGACACTTGAAAATTTTACAGTTAGGACAATTTAAGAATACACATGCATCATCAACAAGATATGCGATAAAACATACTTTTATATACCATCCTTTTCTTCTATAAGTGAAAAACGAAGACTTAGCGTTCAATCAAAGAGAATGAATGATAACTTGCACTCAGTACATTCATTACCTAGTATCCTAGTGTCACAGATCATTTACTAATATTAGTCAACTTTTTGTCAGTGAAAACATTATACACAAACTATGCAGATCCAAATTACAGATTTTCAGCGACAGAATGACGATCGGATTTGACAAAAAGTCGCTGCCGGTGAGCTTCAAGAAGAGCGATGCAGTGTGGCTCTATCAACCCCAATATCGCAAGAGTTTCTGTCCCAAATTGCAGAAACCACGGCAAGAAACTTACTTGATAACCAAAGAGATAAACAATCTTGTGTGCAGAATCTAATTGTCAGCCAGAAGCAAGTCTGAAATTGTCCGCTGACGCTGGTCGTCGTCATTCGATTGTGGCATGACCAAGGTCCTGCTCAACTCGACTTGCGCTTCGCAGTTGTTATAGATATCATGTCGCTTCGAGAGACTTCCAGAGATTACCCTATCGGCTTCTATCAGAGACTTCCATTACGATAAATGAACACTACCAATACGCAGATCGAAAAGTTCAGTTGAAGATGCGTTATGAAGTGTCTTAATAAGGCAATAAACATTTGAGTATCACCGAAGTTTGAGTTAAAGTGTTTGTGTTATTTTGTCAGTGTAATAGTGTAATAAAACTGAGTTTATTTGTACAGTGTATACAATTATTGCAATGTAACATTTGATGTCTGAAGTAGAATAATTTACTGCAACATTTGAACATCGTAGAGCAAACACGACGTCAGAAGTTATTTGAAATATGTAGCTATTACTAGCGTTTCGTGGAAAAATCGCTAGACCACTACATAGCCTCACTGAGAGGAGATCCCCCTTCGTTTGGTCACCATACTACCAGCAAATATTTACTGCCCTTAAGAGATATTTGACCAGTGCTCCAATCGAACACAGGAACATTTCTGATCTTCGAATTCGCCTTCTTTAGTACATCTTCTTGAGTATAGTCATGCATTATATTTTCACAATATCTTTCTCTAATGTATTCCGGAATATATCAAGTGACAGAACGGCCGATCCAATAGTAATAAAATGTCTATGAATATAGACCAACGATTAATTTTCCATTGTACAAGTTGATTTTTTATTGTCCAGATTAATAACATGAAGTTTGATCCAGATACGTATATCAGTCTATAAATATGAAAAGTATGAATCAGTCTAAATTGAAAGGATATATTTCCAAACGAACGTTTGGAATACAAACAAAATAGAGAAAAGTGTTTTTCGTATAACTCAGCGTTCATATAAAATGATTTGTTTTGAAAGTATTTTTTCCCATTCAATATTTATATGAAAATAGCTATTTCGAGAGATCTTTTTTTTTTGAAATTGAAATATTAAAATAGTTTGTTGTTCATTATTCGTATTATTAGAGAGAATCACGATCTCTGTGTTATGGTGCTATGATTTCAGATTAAAATACAGGTTTTTGTTTTCAAAGCAAAATTGAATTATGGTGTAGTATTTCCACATTAATTATATGTTACCTGTGTTTCTACCTGCGGGCTGTTAATGACTTCTGTAAATTCTCCTACTATCACGAACTATCACAGGTAGGTAATTTACAGAAGTCATTAACAGCACTCAGGTAGAAAAACAGGTAACAGGCATCATACAGGCATCATTCCCAGGCATCATCTAACATCACCACGTAGGCAGCTATAGCTACCTGCGTGACTTCCGGGTCCAGGATATAAATACAAAGATATAGATTTTATCGAGTGTGAATGATATATAAATCAAAAGGGGGAAATTCATGGACAGAACACTCAAAAAATGGGGGCAAACCACGGACACGTGTTTCTGGCTATTGGCCTCATCAGCGCGGTGCAGCCAATTGCAAAGGTGGACAACAACTGGTTACCAAAAATGGAAAAAAAAACATCACATATACACGGTGTCACCAACAGGAGCCAACCGCACATTTGTGGTTTCAATTAGAAGACCCAGCATTCCCAGGCATCATCTAACATCACCACGTAGGCAGCTATAGCTACCTGCGTGACTTCCGGGTCCAGGATATAGATACA